AAAATAAATATCTCATTATTTGTTTATTGAGAGTTGAAGCATGAACTATAATTTCCAAATAAAGCAATAATAAATAAATTAATTAAAATTAATAATTCAAATAAATTACACCTTGTTATTTGACCATAACACAAACTACAATTTGCAAAATCAATTGATTCAATTTAAATCATAATGTACAAATTATACATATAATATTTACGATGTAATAATTATTCATGTTTTATAATAATTACTAATTATTATGTATAACATATTAATTATTCATGTCTAATTTGATATCAAATTTGATTAGTATAAATACATTTACACACAACAACTTTGAAGATTTAATTATTTTTATAAATAAATATACTTATAATATTTTTAATGGAATTATTATTATTAATATTACTAATATGAATTTCAACAACTTTTGCCACTTAATACATCTAACTTTTGATATATTAATGCACTTATTTCATAAACAACCCATTTATGATATCAACAAATTTTGTGTAAATGTTAGACCTTTTTTAATCTATTTTTTATCAAATTTTATATATAGAAAAATGATTGAATTACCAATTTTTGCTTTCAATATTATTTTCCAAGTTTTTCCAATTTTCAATCATTTAATTATCTTAATCTATCTGCATAAAAATTATAACTATAGTTATATTTACTATTTTTCCAAATGCAAAACGTTTTTGAAGGCAAGTCCAATTTCACACATCTAGGAAAAAATGTTATTATATAAATGGCTTCAAACATTTCTGAATTTTTAAAATTTATCTAGAATTCTCTTTTTTAAGAATTTATTTTGTCCTTTTTCTCTTTAGTACAAATCAGATCCATGATCAAATCATCACTATTATCTTACATAAAGTATTAAAATAATTATTTAATAAGCTTTTTCTAAAACATTATATTTGGTGTAAAAATTCAAGTATACATGTTGTATTAGGAAACTTGTCTTTTTTATAGAAAATTTTCTCTTTTCTCGCAAATATGTGTTAGTGCATTTCTAATGCGTTAGTCATAAAAAAATTCAAGAAAAAAAAATCTACACTAGGTATATCATGAACTCTATTTTGAGAAATATAATTTAAATTTATTTATAAAAAAAAAAACAGAAAATTGCGATGTTAGTAGTTCAGTTACCATGATCTATCACTGCATAAGTATTTCTTTTCCTAATGCTTCCGACTTCTGACAACAAATTCAGTGCAAGAGTCCTATTTTTAGACCTCTCTCCTGCTAGAAAATTCTATTTTAACACTCGGAAAATTATCCATTTCACATTTTCCGCAGCTTTCCATGTCAATGTCGAATCAATCTGCGGAATTGAATTCTATCGACGAACCGTGAAGTCGAATCAGCGTTTATATCAATCTGGCATCTTCTCATTTCCTTCACCCTTAAAAGGTCAAAACTTAGAAGCTATTGAACGGATTCTAATGTCCAATATAAGAGGATTTTGGGATAGATGTCAGAAGGATTCATCTATCAGAAATCGATTAAGAAGTTGATATTGGTAAATAAAATTTTGCTACATTTGTGTTGACCCGTCTTGAAATCTTCTTCTTTTTGTTTCATGGGATTTGTCTAATTGAATACGGTCACATTGTGTCAGGCATCGATTTAGATGTTGATTTTTCTAAATGCAGTTTTCTTATATTTGGCTTATGAAAGGCACATTTATTATTTGTCCAAATACAATTTTCCACATTTGGTTATCAAGAGTCACATCTTTACGTCTTTCATCAGAAAAGATTTTCTAAGATTGCAGGAGTAAATTACGATGAGCTTAGAAAGTCAAAACTTGGAAGCTATTGATTAGATTCTAATGTCCAACATAAGAGGATTTAAAAATTGATGTCTGAAGGATTCATCTATCAGAAATCGATTAAGAAGTTGATATTGGCAAATAAAATTTTTCTACATTTGTGTTGACCCGTCTTGAAATTTTCTTCTGGTCTTCATGAGATGTGTCTAATATAGTCACCTTATGTGGGATATCGATAAAGAAAGTCATGGTCCTAAATGCAATTGGCTTATATTAGATATAGAGAAGACACATTTTCAAATCTTGTACTTGTCTTGCAATTCGCAAACCAAAAGTGGAGGATTTTGAGAGCCACATTGTTATGTCTCCTTGATATCAGGTAATTTTTGGTTTATTGCCATCAGGAAAGTCTAAGATTGCAGGAGAATTTATCTTCGCAAGTGTCCAGTTATAAATTATGATGGGCTAATTTATAAATCTGCTTAACTCTAGATTTTTTTTGATATTTGGCTTACGATGGATACACTTCAAATTCTAATCGACTTTTTACAAGAAAATGTCTAATTTTGCATGAGGGTTACTCTATCAAAATGCATTTTAGTTGCATTTATCGATAATTTCTGATTAAAAAAATGCATGATAAGTAATTTGTAACTAATTCAATATGATAAGTTGGTAGAATAGATGCCACTAAGTTTTATTTGTTAGAAATCTATTGAGAAGTTGATGATTCTAGATATAACTTTCATAATTTTACGTTGTGTCAATTATATATAGTTGGCATCAAGAACTATCTAATTTTGTCAGGAAAATTTATCTATTAGATATCGATTAAGGAGTTAATGTTTTCAGATGCAATTTTGACACATTGAATCTAATTTTAAATATGAGAGGTATTTAAAATAGACGCCAGGTAAATTTATGTATCAGAAACAATTTAAAAAGACTGTATTCTCAGTCTTGATTACGTTTTTAATTACTACTAATTTTTGGTCAAGAAACGTCTAGTTTTGGACATTGGATGATTATAATATAAACCAGAAATCGATTTGAAAGTTACTATTTATTTACCAGAAATTATGTCGTGCTTTAAAATTTTTGTTCATATTTACCCATTCCTTTGCAATTCGTTGACTTCTCATTGTTTTGCAATTTGCTGATCCAAAAAATGGATTTCGGAATACAAAAATCTAAATTATCTATTTATTTTCAGCAATTTTTGATTTGCATTCTACCTTTCACATATCTGTCAGAAGATTTTGTATTTTTGATGTCATTCTTTCTGCAGTTTTACTTCTTGTCAGGACAGGTGTAAAAGTTACCTTATAGTTACTTTGAAAAAATAATGAAAAAAAAATACAAAGTCTAGAAAAAAGTTATAATCATCAAGTTGAATTAAATATTGTCGATAAGAATAAGAAAAATATTTTTTTTTTTTTAACAAAAGTTTTATTTCAAAAATGCTTATATTCATTATTTATAATATAAACGATCCATCTATGCATCCAATATTTTTTCACCGGGCTTTTGAATATTTTTTTGCAAAATCTACATAAAACATGAACGATTTACAAAAAGGTTCGTATTTTAAGGAGTGTATAGGTATCTTTTTAGGATGTTCTTAGACGTAGATAACACTTGAATTGCCTACACTAGGCCTCTTGTCTATTCTTCAAATAAAGGGATTACTCTTGCGAATCCTTTTGCTGATAACGAATAGATTTGAAATCCTTCGACAAGAAAATACAGATTTTGGAATAAATTTCATAATATTAAAAGACGAGAATTTTTATACTATAATGTAATGTATTATTTGCTTGTATACCCGTACCTACTTATTAGGCAAATGCTAGACAATAACAGAAAAAATAGAATATTGATTTTTGCCAAAAATAGTTTGATTTACAAAGTTATTTTATTATGTATGAATTCTGAGACTTTATATGTTTTTATTAAATTATTCTACATCATGTTTATGAAATATGTATTATCATTTATTATTTTCATTTATTTCCCAAAATACATAATCTCTTAATGTATCAGATAATCCAGGCTCTATAGAATTTACAAACGTTCTATAAATAGTAAAGTACTTAGCATACTTAATGCTAATATACTATTTAATCCTGTTATAAATTTAAATGTACACTTTGAGAAACATGTGAGATTATAAGCTACTTAAAATTAATCCGTATTATTTCATTTCCAAAGCCGCCATTGGAAAATATACTTATCTTGTTACTTGTTGCAATAATAAACACAAGAAGGATTAATATTTGTATTTATGATAAGAAATTGGAATGTTCATTTTTAATTTCGATAAAAATTTGTTTGAGTATAAATTTGTATTAATATATTTATTAGTATTATTATATATACAGGATGTCCCAGAACTCAACGTCAAACCGAAACTGGGTGATAGTATTGACAGTAACTGTCCTAAAAAATATTATCTCAAGTTGTTTGGATTTTATGAACTTTTAAATAAAACCTAGAGCTTTGGTAAAACTGTGACCATTTTTGGGTTATTGTGGTTAAATTTTTTTTAAGGATCTGTAACCGTAAATGACAATTCTAGGATCACAGTCAAAATTAATGCCACAATTGCTGCAAATTTCCAAGAATTCAGATTTCTTGTTAAACTACAATTTAAAATCTTCAAAATTGTTCTACTTTGGGAGGTCTTCCTGCAAAAAAAGTACTAATATTTCAATAAATTCCATATATTTCCAAAAAATTTCTTATAATTAATATTTATAAGAGAATTTTTTTAAGCCATACACTTTTAATTATAATATTTTCTCAAGTAATATTTTTCAAGTAAAACTTTTGAAGTATAACTTCTGTGGGCGCAACTAAGAGGTAACTCGGCAAATATGCAACGGAAATGCGTTACGCCAAAAATACTGATTTGTCATTGGCTATTGATGACGCCATTCGAATCGAGTGCATATGATTGGTCGAACTGTCTTCTCTCGAGTCGATATCGATAGCCATCTTGATTTTGAAATGTCAAACATCAAGAATATTGAGTTTATGTCGTATGTCGTAATAGAAATCTAGACTGAGATGTGTAATAGTTTTATTATTTTTTCTCTAATAATGAGCTTTTAAATAACTAGTATAAATAATGATAAATCATACTTCACTCATATTTATTATTTGGTTCTTAGTAATAAATATTCTATATAATTTAATTCGGTTGTAATAAATATATTTCCTTTTCTTCCAGAAAATGCTACGAAATTCTGCAACTTAGACGGAACCTGGAACAATTACACAAATTATTCAGAATGCAAACGAATAACGCATTTACCTGTTCACGATTTTCTGGAAGGAACAGAAATACCCAGCATAATATATTACATAGGATACACAATAAGCCTGGTGGCTTTAGGTCTGGCAGTTTGGGTGTTCCTGTACTTCAAGTGAGTTGATGAATTCATTAGAAACCTAGAGAACCATTGAAACTTGGTGTAAGTGGCATTGCACCACCTACATAAGTCGCTAAGTCTTGTATTTAGAATCTGTCAGCTCTCAGAGTAAAAAGTCAACATACATTTTACTTTATTTTTTCCACATTTTTCTTTATCCCAAGTGTTTATTACATATTTTTTCGCCCTCTCCATTTTCCGACTCCGATTTTCTTTTGATCGCAGAATTAATCCGGCAGAGACTTTTCTCCTCGACTTTCCCCTTAATTTTCTCCAAGACTCGTTAAAGGTGAAAAGTAAATATACTTAAAAGTAATCCAGAGAGTTCCATTTTATATAAAGTTGACCATAGTAGATGGAAAGGAGAATTCTGTTGTATTATTTGTGTTCCAGAAAATCGAAATGAAATATGGTGTTTTGCTAAAATAAATAAATTGCATACTGCGGTTGTAGAAGGAATTGGCTTATGGTTAATCCTGGATACAATAAGTAGAAAATGTAGAATATAACATAATCAAACTGAATGAAAAATTGTAATATTTAAAGTCTCCTAGGATAAGTTACAGTAATCGTAAAAAAAACGAAAATTAGTAGTGTATGCCATCGTGTCTCAAGGCAAATTGCTGGAACTTCCCGTAACAGAAATTAATATTTGTAAAAAGAAAATTAAAACTTTTTTTAAACTGCAAAAAATAGGTTTTTGAGAATCTTGAAATATAATGACTTGAATGAATTGAAAAATAATGACTTTCTTGAAAAAAAGTTTTTTTGTTTTATTTTGAAATGTTTTGGAAAATTTCGACTTATTTTTCAAAGCAATAGCTCTGCTTTAGCTGCATAGAGACGCAATATCGAAGCGCGTAAGCGCCGCGTCGCTGTCTAACGGATAAACAATGATATAGACTCAATAGAAATGTAGACAAAATTTATACTTGATCATTTTTAACCGCCAAGTGGCTTTTTTCACTTTTTCAACTCGATCTCCAAAACCGCTAGACCTGCCTTCCCAACAATTTTGGAAGGACGGATGGTCAGTTCTCTCAAAAAACCGAATTTGCATTTTTTGTCCCGTATCTTCGAAACTACTGGATCTGCCTTGTTCAAAAACTAATCAGCAGAGTCTTCTTTTTAATAGGAATCTAATGAATGAATCATTCAAATCGGTTGAACCGTGTTTCCAAAATCGTTGAGAAAAATTTGTATTCGAACACACACACACACTTACACATCTATTTTTTCTAAGGTATGCCAAAATGTTCAGAAACCTTTGAAAACGTAAAAATATATAAAAAATTTCATTTTCGATTTTTTTGCGATTACTATTACTTACCCTACGGGAAGTTAATGAAAACTTTGTTTCAAAGGACTCTGAACATTTTGTCATACATAAGAAAAAAATGATGTATGTGTGTGAGTGTGTGCGGATACAATTTTTTATCGACGATTTCAGGAACATGGATCAACAGATTTGAATGTTTGTCCGTTAGACTACAACTTCGATATTTTGTCTAAAAACTAAAAAAGGCTACGCAGCGCGATTTCTATGAAAAAATGTTCAAAATTTTCTAAAAGCAGCGCGATTTTTGTGAAAAAAGTTCGAAATTTTTTAAAATTATCAAAAAAGACATGTTTCATTCAATAATATCAACATTTTCAAAAACAAGATTTTTTTTTAAAAAAAAAACAAAAATGAATCAAAATCATTCTCAAAAAACGCAGAGCGATTTCTGCGAAAAAAGTTCAAAATTTTCAAAAAATTTCAGGTTTATCAAAAGCGACATGTTTTTTTTCAAACAATATCATTATTCTCAAACTAAAATTTAAAAAAAAAAAACAAAATTAAATCACAAAATCATTGTCACAATACAAACATAGATGCACAATTAAAATCATAGTTATTT